CACACCCAAGCTGCTGGGGTGGTGACAATGGGGCAACCAAGCCATTTCGAGAGGGTTACCCCGATTTCGGCTGGCTTGGGGATGGACAAACACCATCTTGGATCCATTTGCCGCAGCCATGAGCTGTTCCTCTCTTTTTCTCAACATGGTGTTCCCTCAGGGGTGACTTTTGGAGGGGTAAATAGGGATCCCCTGTGACACTGGGTGTGACACTGGGCTGATCGACTGAAGACCCCCAAGAAGTTTCAGTCCAAGAGGCTGAAAGCTGTCGGCTGGTATGGCTGTTCCGATACCAAAGGATTCCTTGGAGGGTCCTTTGGCCGAACTCCTTTTTGTTGGTTGACCAGGCTAGGTTTCACCACTTGTTTCATTGAGGCCGCCATACCCTGCCTCGGGCAAACATGGAAGGCCAACCAATGAGGCAGGGGGCAGAGCAAGACTCTGGGGGGATGTATGTCCAACGCAAGTCAGCGAACCTCCGGCACGGCAACTTGTTCGAAGGCAGGCCGGGACTGCTAAGAAACCTGATCCATCCTTCCACGAGGTGGGTGTCCACCATATTTCAAGGGTGGACTTTCTATTGGATCCAGAGCCCCCAAAAAGTGCCCCGGGAATGTGGTATGGCAACCCCAGAGTCGTCATGGTGATGGCATTTTTGAGGAACCTGTCTTGTCTAAAAAGGGCTCTTTCGATTCACCCAAAAAAAACATACTTCAATTGCTGCTGCATATTTGGTCTAAAAATCACACGATGCTAAGCTAAGTCGAATATACACCAAAAAAAAGCAGGTATTTTGGAGTTTAAAAATCTCCAAGATACCCTCACAAGCCGAACTAGCTCCTCCAGTAGAGAGGTTAGACTAAGGCTGCTCTGTTTCCTTTTTTGTCTAGTTTAGTAGGGGAACCCTCCCAACCAAAAAAGAAATGGTAAAAGGGCACGATCCTGGGGGACCTAGCAAACCCTCCGCTGTTTTTCTGGGACGTGGGAGGTCGCCTGTCCTTCCCGCGCCTGGCTCCCGTGAGCCTGGCTCCCGATTGCGACTCAATAGCGCGGCGAAGGCACTTGATGAGCACCGCGCCGTCCAGCTGCGCCAGGACATCCTTGGGCTCCTGACTCGACATCCTATGGTCGACGAATCGCTCAATGGTTTGCCTTGCCCTTACAGGGGACTTACAACCATTGTAAGTGGGACTTACAACCTGGACAGGGATCCTTACATACACCTGAACATTGCCTGCTAAATGGTGGTGTCCCTGTATTTTAGTGTTGAAAAAGCAGCATGTTTCAAATGGTTGCGAAATGTTAGTAGGCTAGTAACCTGGGTTATTTAACCTACTTGCAACCGGCCCAAGTCACTCATAGGTAGGTTATACCCCAGGTGGCGATCACCACTTACTCGCCCAAACCGGACCACGGGACCGCAGAAGGGGGGGGGGGGGGTTGGGGCTACCTGTACCTATGAGGATGGGTGGGGGCCGGGGTTTTTTGGCCGGGCAAGGGGGGGGGGGGGGAGCGATTTTCTTGTGGCAACGGTTGACGGAGAAACTTCAGGAAACTGCTCATGGGTTTATTCTGGTCCCCCAAAAACTAACGCCCCACTAAACGAGCGTAGGGCGGCAGGGGCCCTTCTTTGGGGCTAAGAGGGTTCCGTGTTGGATGCTTATCCCTTTTCTGGGGGAGGGGGAGCTGACAACCAGTTCAGGGTTGGAACCTACCACCGTTGATTTGCTGGTTCTCAGTATTGTTCATTTAGCTTTGGAATGGGAATTGACAGTCGAATGGACCCTTCCAAATCCAAGTCTCACCCAGTTGCACGGATCCGTTTATTGGGTATTGTTCGCCGCTTGTCACTGGGCAAAATCAACGATTTTGAGAATAAAAAGGGTGCGCTTTTCTCACATGAAACTACCATGGATGGTGCCACACTAACTGCCCAAGACCCAGCCAAACCGACCAATTGACCAGCCAACCAACGAACCAATGTCACTTCCTCTCAAAGATCCGCCACACACTCCATCCGTGGTGTCCTGAAAACATCCCTTGGCCCATCTTGTGCCCGTTCGGCCTGGCATCAATAAGGGATGTCAACCTGGCTTTTTGAAGGAGGATTCCAGGAGGATGCGAATCTTCCAAATCATTCCTAGGACTCCTGAAAGCTTCCATGAGAGTAATCTACTTGGGGCAGTGAGCTACTTGGCGTTTGGCGACCGCTATTCCCTCACATTTGTGGTTTAGATTGGTCGGTGGTTCACCTTCTAGCCTCTGGAACCAGGGGTTCAAATCCAAATGCAAACCACCAATCAAGGGTTTTCTGATTTTCTGATCTGATTTCACGAGTGGATCGGCCACGATATGTTGCGACCATGGCTTCCCGAAAGGCATATCATGCAATCGGTCTCAGTTTGCGCGAATTCCAAATCGTATCACGATGTTCACGTCTAACCCTTGTTTAAATCCTTGTGTATTCCTGTTTTCCCTTTTCCACTTGGGTATGTGCCAAAATAGGGTGCCCTCAAAGTCTTCTCTTTGGTTTCTCCCTTTAAACCAACCCAAAAAGGGTACCGAGCGGCACCGGGAAAAAAAAAGCGCTTGACCCATGTCTTCTTCTCACAGGTGCTGCTCGATCGTTAACCCTCGTCCAATTTGTCCCATGTTGTACCCTCAAAAAAACTCGAAAGGGCGGCCTTCCAATCATAGGTGGCCTTTTGGGGCAAATCGATGGCCCTGGTAGACGAATAAACCACCAGGTAAACCAGGGCCTCGATTTTTCCACCAACACAACCAAAAAGGACACCTATGCTTCCAATGTTTTGTACCCTTTGTAGCCTCCCAATCGTTCCCTCAAAATACAAGACACAAAACACTCCGGCCACGCCGTTTGGTGTGTCGTTAACCAGACCCGCCAGTCCTCCCCCATGAGAACGCCATTGATGGCCTCCTTGCACCTTGGTCCAACAAGAGTTCACGCGGGCCTTGGATGGTGAAAGAAACATCGCGGGAGGGGTTGGATGCTTTGTTGGATGCTTTGTTGCATGGTTTTGGATGTCAAGGCAACCATCGTGCGGGAAACTTGAGACAAACCCATATGCCTTCTCCCAACAAAATCAGTGGTGTGTGTTTGTTTTCACTTCGAACCCAAGAAAAAGGACATACCCATTTCAACCTGCAAATCCTGGGAATTGGACCCTCGGTGAGCGGGCCACAAATAAAGGGCAGAACGAGCTGTGCATTTGCTCCTACAGCATGCGTGCAAAGAACCTGGTACGTGCGTAGTATATATTCAAGCGTGTCCAACCATATCAGTCCAACCGGGTTTGTATACTATGCAAAAAGGCAATCTTCAAACCGACAGAGTAGAAGGGTGTGGAACCCGGAGGAAAACGACGTTAGACCCAGAATTCCGAACTTGGCCCGTCATGCTTTCGATTCGTTTTTCGGGGACAAGCCTCCCACTTCAAGCGTTGAAGGGGTTGCCCAAACTGCCTCGGAAGCCTCATGACAAAGATCGAGCTCTCTCTGGGCGCTGAATAGGTTTAGGAGTCCTACCCATCGGTTTCCTTTTGGAAAAATGTTCCCCACAGTTGCCCAGAGTTCAGACAAGCAAGCCGCCTGCGCCATGGTCACAAACCAAAACCCTGAAAATTGTGATTTTCCCTCGATGGAACCCACCAAAAGGGTCCATGTTGAAGCAAAACTGGCGTTCCAGGACCCCGAAACCTCAGGTTCCATGGTAGTGGACAGGGTCATGATTCCAAAAGTACCTTCCAATTCCATTCTGGACCCAGGGATCCGGATCCTTCTAGAAAACCACCGGAAACCCAGGGAAAACAGCGGTTTTTGGAAAAGCACGATGGTTGAAAACAATGGACAAGGAAGCAACCCCTAGAATGATTGTCTTACACGCCCTCCGCCCCTAGAATCCATGCCCCAACACTTCTCTGAGGGTTTTTGTATTACACCCTGGGATTGCACCGTTGGGAAATCACCCAGAATGGTCAAAATAACACGGCTTTCTCCGAAAATTGTGCCTAAATGGGGTCGATTCCCAGGGTGTAAAACAGAAACCCTTAGAACTTCCACCAACGTTTTCTTGGTGCTAAGCCGCGGGTCCAACCAAATCAGGAACAAGGTGTTACCATCAAACATACGGGCTAGTTGGCACCCAGTCGCCCGACTCCAACCCTGATTCTCCGACCCCAACCCTCTATTGCGACCAAGTTATATCACCTTCTCGTTTGCTTGATTAAAAAAGAACAAAACACCTGGATCGCCAGTTGCGATCGCTTTTTTCCCATGCACTTTACCCCAAAAACCAGCAACAGTGAGTGGGAAAAAAAGCGATCGCAACTTGGATATCTAGGCAGAACATGTTGCGTTCATCTTTCCCCCAACAAAAAACAAGGTCTGGGTTTTCCTTTATTAATGCCCCCCCCCCAAAAAAAACTAAAAAAAACACGGCCTGGGTTTTGCTTGATGAATGGCCCCCAACCAAAAAAACCGGTCTCGGGTCCGAAATGCCAATGCTTCCCCGCCCGCCCCCCCGAACCCCCGAATCGAATCGCCCGAAGCCCCGAATCGCCCGAAGCCTGGCGATCTGCTCCTTCGTCCCCTGAATGACCACCTTCCGCAGCGTGGGGTCGTCGTTGTCGTCTCAGCGGGTTTCCGAATCCGAGCGGGTTTCCGAGCCGCGAAACCGAGCTGGGCAGAAGCACTGGGGCTTGGGTCTGGTTTTTGGGAGGGATATCCCTTTTGGATTGGTTTTAAAGGGAAAGCAAAAGGAAAACCAACGCCATTTTGGGGAGTCAAACGCTCATGGGTAACGTTTCCCTTTTAGTGGTGAAAAAATCATCTTTGTTGGCGGTTTCCCTCATGGTCACCCCAGGAACATGACCTTCTGATCAACCCCCAAGTGAGACTAAGCACATTTGATGTATAGCCTACTTGATTATTATTCTTTTAGTTTTACTTGGACCCCCCGCCTGTAGCGTACCTCTGAAAGAGCTTGGTTATACTTTAGGTTTACTTTAGACCCATTGGTGGGCAGATATGACCTATTCACAAACCGGAAGTAAGGAACCCCGAAGTGAGGCATCTTCACCATGGGTTCTGCCCCCCCTTGTTGGCTCAGTATAGTTTGTCCAGATGGGGATACATGTCCACCCACCGATGTTTAGGGTGTTCCATACCTGCATGTGTTTTGCTTTTTTGTCCGGAATGAGCAATTATCTCTCAAGCATGTCAAAACGCTGATTTCATTTCTGCCAAAACGCTGACTTCATTTCTGCCAAAATGCTTACTATGCTTGCTTCCAATCCTACCTCTTCATCAGGCCACCCAGGTGTTAAATTAACCATGATTGATCCAGATCTAAAGAGCACAAAAAACCTAGCTCCAGGTATCCCAGACCCGCTCACTGGATATTGCCGCCAACGACTTTGGGCAAGCCCGTCAGAAGGCAATGGTGCAGAGGGCACACCCCTACTTGCTTGTGACATGGTCACACCCGCTCGTTTTGACACTGGCTTCGCCAGCTACGAACTGCATGCCTGCCAATACGCACACCCAGTCAAAAAGCACCCCCTCTACTACATGATAAGCACGCTCGCGCATGATCACCCGCTCAGCAAACATGCCTGCCAAACGCTATGCATATTGTCCATGTGTCGATGCTGGACTCAATGTACGAATGGACAAAATTACAAATGCTCCCCAAATGGACATGGGAAAGTGGGGTTCCCCTGGTTTGTCTTGCAAAAAAGTGTGCCTTAAAGAGTCCCAACGGTGGACCCTGGCGCCATTTCTTTCTCAAAGGCTGTATGGCACCCACAGGCTTCCCTGCTTAACATGGAACCCAGAGAACCATCCGCTTTACCCTCTTCTCCTCTTCCGGGTCCCCAAAAAACTTGTGGGTCCCATGTCAATTTGCATGGGCGTTTGTGAGCCCCTGGATTGAACGCCTTAGCTTAATTCGCCGCTGCTTCCAAGCGAGGCCTCGCTTGGTGGGGGTGATGATCTTACACCGGGTGCCCTCCTGGCGCGAGAAATCGCGAGAAAACCGATGGTGCTTCGCTGGTGCTTCGCTGGTGCTTCGCTGGATCCCCCGTGAACGGCTCAAGACCACTGGAAACCCAAAGCGCAAGGATCCCTTCGGCCTTCCTGGAACGAGCGCGCAGAAGCTTTCGACTAAGCCAAGAATCATGCCTTGTGAGAGGAATCAAGGGGCCCCCCTTGGGTTACACCAAAAAAAAGGTCCCCGGCACTTCCTCACTTCTCAAGTCGATTGGACCCAAACAAATGGAACCCGTTGGTTTGCCAGTTTACAACCTTGGCAAACCATCTGCAGTGCACAGCAAATATTATGTTCTGATTGTGTTTCATAATGTTGACCCCGGATTAATAAACCCCTGTTCATTAATATGGGGGTGTTCCTGGTTTTGGTGGGGATTTATCACTTTTGGAGGGGAACACCCCCATATTAATAAACAGGTGTTTATTTATCCGGGGTCAACATCATTCATTCTGCCCGATAAAAGAGTCTTGGTTTGACCCCAGAAACGGTCTTCCCAAGCCGTAAGTCCAGGAACTGAGGGAGTGAGTTGAGTCAGAATCAGAACCCGGTACTAAAATGTTTGACCCACAACCATGTAAGGAAATACGAAGGCGGATATCCGCAGCTATTTATGGCTGGGATTGTCTCTTACTAACCTTCATCTACCCGAATCGGTTTTGATTGTCGCTCAGTTTCTCAAAGGCGTCTGAGATGTCAACCGGCAGCTGCCGGCGAGATCGCTAGAGCGTCGGACGCTGCTTTTTGGTCTGTGGCATGGGCATGTTTGGGAATGGAACAGACGTGCCGGAGGTAAAAGATCCACACCAAAACAAACTTGTTCAGACTCGGGTCCATACTCAGTCAACCTTAAAGCTGAACATTCTTCACACTTAGACTCAGGAGGGAGGAAGCCAACCAATAGCGAGTGGGAAAAACAATGTATCGAGTGAGATGGTGGATTCCATGTCGAGTCAAAGTGGTTTCCCTGTACTTCAAAAGGAGAGACCAAAGAAGCAACAGCGGTTCAGGGAGGGGACCAGGACCATGCAGGTAGCTTGGTGTCGTGCGCTGGGTACAAGTGGAACTCAGCCACACACACACACATCTGGCTGTGGGTCAGAAGTAGGGTGACCCCAAAATGGCTTGCCCTGGAAAATGGAAAACCTGCGGTCCAATTCCTGGTGGTGACTATTTTTCACCCATACCCAGGTGTGGCTGTTTGTAGACGTGTTTAGGAATCGGACCCCTCAAATGGTGGCTCCCTTTCACACAGACACACACGCACGCACGCACGCACGCACGCACGCACGCACGCACGCACGCACGCACGCACGCACGCAGAGACACAGGGACACAGAGACACAGAGACACAAAGACAGAGAGACACACACAGACACACACAGACACACACACACAGACACACACACACAGACACTCACACAGACACAGACACACACACACACACAGACACACACACACACAGACTCACACACACACAGACACACACACAGACACAAACACACAGACACAGACACACACACACAGACACACACACACACACACACACACACAGACTCACACACACACACACACAGACACACACACACACCACACAGACACACACACACAGACACAGACACACACACACACAGACACACACACACACACACACAGACACACACACACACACACAGACACACACACACAGAGAGACACACACACACACACAGACACACACACAGACACACACACACAGACACTCACACAGACACAGACACACACACACACACAGACACACACACACACAGACTCACACACACACAGACACACACACAGACACAAACACACAGACACAGACACACACACACAGACACACACACACACACACACACACACAGACTCACACACACACACACACAGACACACACACACACCACACAGACACACACACACAGACACAGACACACACACACACAGACACACACACACACACACACAGACACACACACACACAGACACACACACACACAGAGAGACACACACACACACAGACACACACACACACACACACACACACAAACAGACACACACACACACAGACACACACACACAGACACACAGACACACACACACACAGACACAGACACACACACACACAGACACACACACACACACACAGACACACACACACACAGACACACACACACAGAGAGACACACACACACACACACAGACACACACACACAGACACACACACACAGACACTCACACAGACACAGACACACACACACACACAGACACACACACACACACACACAGACTCACACACACACAGACACACACACAGACACACACACACACAGACACACACACACACACACCACACAGACACACACACACAGACACACACACACACACACAGGCACACACACAGACACACACACACACACACAGACACACACACACACACACAGACACACACACACACAGACACACACACACACACACACAGACACACACACTCACACACACACACAGACACACACACAGACACACACAGACACACGCAGACACACACAGACACACACAGACACACACAGACACACACACACACACATACATTTGTCTGTTGCGTCTCCTGCAAGTCTTTGATGTTGCACCCGCCCCGGCCGATGATGCGGCCGATGTCCCGATCGTCCACCTCCATCTCCTCACTCTCGCCCCCGAGACCTAAGCGAGAGCGGAGAAGCCTCGCGAGAAGGGAACCGCCCTATACTCATTCAGAGCATGGGATTTGCAACTCTGAGAGACTATGACAGTGATGATGATGCTGATGATGATGATGATGAGGAGGATGAGGATGATGATGAAGATGATTGTCATGATGATGATGATGATGATGATGATGATGGTGATGATGGTGATGATGCTAGTAATAATAGTAGTAGAGTAGTAATAGGACTAGTGGGCATACTAATGATAGCAATACTAGTACCAATGGCAACAAACGGAGGATACTCACAATAATAGTAACAAAAGCAATGGCGACAACAAGAAAAAGCAATGACAACACCCATAATAAGAAGACTAAGAATACCCTTGGTGCACCCATTACCTATTTGCATTCTTATGTATATATATATATATCACAAATGAACATGTGGTACAGCTGGGTGTCTCGGCTTGAGGAACCCAAGAACTCCCCGCAAGGGAACCCTCTGCCCCTGGCTTCGGCACTTACCACCATAACCCCCAACGCGTAGGGATTTTTCGGGGGGGGGGAGCGGGGGGGGGGCAAAGCAAATGAACATGTGTGGGGAAGGGTCCCGGTCCCTCTGTTGGGGCACGGGCCCACCTCCCATTGCCTCGGGGGATAAGGGCCAACTGCCCGTATAAAACATGGATCTGAACTACAACCTCTTGACTCAAGAGTCAACTTCCACTCAGGGATGGTTGAATGGTTGAACCCACAAGGCAATGCACCCATTCTTGACCTTTTTCGCGTTCATTTGCTCAAGCGTTTGTCAAGGGTTGGGTTGCAGCATCTCCGGCAAGGCCATTTGTCCCCACGGAACCATAGCTTTCTTCCTTCTCCATCAGGCACTTAGCAACCTGTGTGCAGCCTTGCAAAACGCCCACAGAAAGGGGACTCTTGGACTTACTAGTTTAAGTAGCTTTGCCCAAGCACTGGCGCGTACCGAAGCGATGGCCTCAAGAGACGCCACCCAAACCGCTCTATCTGAGGGGAACGGGCGGGTCAACCCCTTGAAATGGCCCCATGTTGCTCTCCATTCCCGAAGGATTTCGAAAATGCCCCCTCCGCAAATTCGATTTGCGTCACCATAGCCGCCGTAGCCGCCGTAGCCGCCGCCGTAGCCGCCCTTGCCCCCATCCTTGCCCCCATATTTGCCGCCGCCCATGGCGCCGGCGACAAAGCCTCGAACGCGAAAAAAGCCCGGCTGGGATCCCTGGTGCCACCTTTGGGGTAAGCTCTACATTGATCTTGCTACGGGGAAACTGCACGTGTCTCCAATGCAGGCAAGCCTGAACTCTGGCAAGGGAAAAGTAAAGATGTTCTGGAACGCTTGCCAGAATCTATCTGCCTGTCAACTAAATGGCGACGCTTGGCAAAACAATGCAACCTGTGACTCCACGTCCGACGCGGATTGTGCCCGAAGTTTGTGCCTTCTAATTTGCCGTGCCATGTCATGACTACCCGAACATCCGTCCAAAACCCCCCGCGCAGGGATTTTGCAACCCCACATGTCCAACTGTTAAAGCCACGGCATATGACTCAAGCGTTCGGCCTCGTGCGCTACGGAAAAAGTGCCGGGCCGTTCAGATGCTCAGCCGGTCGAACATGTTAAACAAATCAGCGCTGGGGCCAGAGCAGCGTGTGAGCATCAACGCACACAGAGAACCCCGGAAGCTTGATGGCCTCTGGTGGGCTGTGGCTGTCGAAACCAAAAGTAGATCCATGATCTAAGATGGAAAGGGTTACGTGAGCAATGGGCTATTCCTGAAGTTGCAAGGTTAATGCAGTCATGAACCCTGCATGTACATAGTATAATGTAAATAGATATTTAAAGATGTGTGTGTGATATGGTCACCCCCCCTCCATGATCTACCTTTCTTCTGTTCACTTTCGAATGGCGCTTGTGTATTTCCAATACTTGTTGTATGTATGGACCAACTTTGTATGGAGGCTTGTAGGTTGGAGGCATTTGGAGTTCGCCAGTGCTGAGCACCCCTTTGCATCCTGTCATAAACCTTGATGAGTTCACGCAGTTGATGTTCAAGGTACTATAAAGAAAATCATCAAGGGCATGGCCGTCGGAAAGTGCAACATGTTTATGGTCCGTTTAAGGACGGAAACAAGTTGTGACCTTGGGTCTCATGGGCTGTTGTTAGGGAGTGAAAAAGCAAGCAGCAACTTGGCCAAGTTGGTTACTTTCGTTTGCAAGCAAGGCAAACAACAGTTCAAGAACTTCTGAATCTCTTCGGCTTCATACCCTAACGTCACATTACGCAGCTTCCCAGAAACCGACATTTCGGTGTTGCTACCATATGAGCTTCTCACCTGAGCCATCCATTTGAGGAGCCTGCGGGAAGGTTGGAGAATACTCCTCGAAGGCCCAAAAAATGGGGGGGGGGGTGATCAAGATTGTCCGACGAACATGGGATGACCAGCGGTTGGAAACCACAAAAACGATGGACAACATGGTTAGCCATAGTCATCGGCGGGCCGATCAACCTCCATTTCCCGACTCAAAGCCTCGCAAGGGGAGACAATCGTGGCGATTTTCAGCTTCTAAGGACCACTAGCCCAAGTCATGAAATGGAAAATGGCGTCGGCTTTGAGTCAGTCTTGAAAAGATTGAAAAGGCAACTTTCCCCTAAAGGTGGAGTTTGGTTCGTGCTGGGGAGCTAAGACCTCGAGTGCAAGAAGCAGCTCGCAGCTTCTGTGAAGAAAACAACATCTGGCGATCCAGGCGGGCCGACCAATAAAAGTCTCCCAAGCCGACCACGCCAACGTCAAAAACAAACAGCTGGACTAGGTTTAGGGTCGCGGACATACACATCGCAGCAAAAAAACACCCCTTTTTCGCTCCCGGAGAGCTCCGGTCTTTCTTGGCGACTGCGTGCAAGTGTTACTTGTTTGGAAAACACATCTTACAAAAAGTTGAAGGTTAAAGCACTACATGCGAAAATGTCTTCACGGTTCCCTTTTCCCTCGGAAGCAGTGTGTAGGTGCCAATGCTTTGCATTCCTACCTAGCATGGAGACCCCACCTGGGCTCTCCATATGACCAAAATGGCACCAGTGTGCCAGGCTAGTTTCTGCCCCACCACACGCATCTGGGAGAAATTGACTCTCTGGAAGGAAAAATTGGAAGCGCGGGTGCGTAAGCTCGTCCGCCCAGGTGCTATGAAGCACCCATGTTTATGGAGCTGCAAGACCAACTCCATCAGAATGGTAGCCGTATAGGGCTTCTTGGACGAGAGGTTGGACATTTCCTTGGTTATCACTGCCACCGGCAGTCGGACGCGCAAGTTTGCACAAAAGCAGAGTCCCAAAGAGGTTCAGGCCCGCTATGCGCTTCATCGGGTTGCCGTCCTTGACTGCCCAGAGGAATTGCTCCTGGTCCACCTTGAGGAACCAGAAGACTGAGTCCTTTCCCGGGCTTGCCGTGTTGGAGCACAGGAGAAAGGCCAGAGTGTGGTGCCTTCGATGATGAGCTGAAGCATCACTACGATGTGCTTGGCTGCTGTCATTTGCACCCTCGGCACCTGGGGGTGGCCCAACCACGTGTTGACCTCAATGCAGCTTCTTCCAACTTGGGCCTGGCCAAGTGGTGCTTGAGGCTGTTGGACCACTTGATGTAGGAGAGCATGGTATTCGGGCTCTTGCTCACCCCTGCAACGCTCCAGGAATGACCCCCCTTGCAGTG